AAAGAAAGAAAGAAAGAAAGAAAAGAAAAGTGGGAAGAAGAAAATCAAGGGGAGAGAAAATTCTCAAATTCTCCAGCTGGAGCATTTGGACACTCAAGTTCAGGAATGACTATAACAAGCTCTCCTTAGGAGGTCTCAACATCAAATGCAAACTTAACCCCAACCCTGGGCCAAGAATAGCAATTCCTACCAGGTTACCTATACTTTCTGATCCTAAGGCCATTTTACATCTGAAAATTCTGAGCTCCAAAGATGTGAAATAGGGGGCGGTGCCTGTGGCTCAAAGGAGTAAGGCGCCAGCCCCATATGCTGGAGGTGGCAGGTTCAAACCCAGACCTGGCCAAAAACTGCAAAGATATGAAATAACCTACCCAAGATTACACTGCAAGACAGAGGCAGACCTGCCCTCAGAATCCTATATATTTAATATATCCTATTTAATTATCCTATTTATTTTAATATATCCTATATTAAATATACATACATATTTAATCTCTTATACCATGTTGTCCTGTCTTAAACCCAACATTTTCTTTTGTCAGCTTTTTTTTTTTGAGACAGAGCCTCAAGTTGTCCCCCTGGGTAGAGTGCTGTGGCATCACAGCTCACAGCAACCTCCAACTCCTGGGCTCAAGCAAGTCTCCTGCCTTTGCCTCCCAAGTAGCTGGGACCACAGGCACCTGCCACAACGCCTGGCTATTTTTTGATTGCAGCCATCATTGTTTTTGGTGGGCCTGGGCTGGATTCGAAGCCGTCATCTTAGGTGTATGTGTCTGGCGCCTTAGCCACTTGAGCCACAGGCGCCAAGCCTGTCAGCTTTTTTCATTTGTTTTTGGACAGGATCTTACTCTGTTGCCCTGGGTAGAGTGCCCTGGCATCATTCTAACTCACAGCAACCTCAAGTTCTCTCGTAGCATCCTCCAATTCTGGGCTCACTTACCTCAGATTCCCAAGTAGCTGGGACTACAGGCACCCGCCTGAACACTTGGCTGATTTTTTTTCTGTTTTAGTAGAGACAGAGTCTCACTCTTGCTCAGGCTGGTCTTGAACTCCTGAATTCAAGCAATCTACCGGCCTCCACCTCCCAAAGTGCTATGATTATAAACGTGAGCCACTGCACCTAGCCTGCTTTTGTCAGCTTTAATCTTGACCCCCAACCTCAGTTCTAACCCATAGTGGGCTTACGTGTTTCTGGCCTCAGCCCAGTGGAAATAGCTTGTTTTAATTTTTGCCCCTCCTTCTTCTCTACTCTCATCTTACTAGCCAGTAGCCAGAAATTTCCCTCTTGACTGATTTTTTTTTTTTCTAGATAGAGTCTCACTCTGTTGCTTAGGCTAGAGTGCCATGGTGTCATTGCAACCTCTAATTCCTGGGCTCAAGCAGTCCTCCTGTCTCAGCCTCCAGAGTAGCTGGGACTACAGGCACCACTATGTCCTGCTAATTTTTCTATTTTTAGTAGACATGGGGTCCTGCTCTTGCTCAGGCTGGTCTCAAACTCCTGAGCTCAAGGGATCCTTCTGCCTCAGCCTCCCAGAGTGCTAGGATTACAGGCATGAGCCACAGCACCTGATGCCCGATGCCTTGTTGCCAAGGGCAATCTTAGGTAGGAGGGAAGGAATGGATTCAGTCCACAGCCTGAAGTGGCTCTAAGACTGCCTGTCTCTTTTCTGTACCACTGCCAGAATGATCCTTACCAGGAAGACTTTGGGGTTCATGCCAACTGGGTTTCTGGGGTTATGAGGTGAGTTGTCTCCCCTCTCCCACTGGATGCCTTGCAAGAGCAGCCCCTTGACCATAACCACAGAGGACAACAGGTTATCTGTGCCCATGATCCAAGAACCGGAGATCGTGAGATGAAGATTTTAAGAGCAAACATGAAAAACAATTTGTCATGGGCAAGAATCAGTAACTGGGACAACAGCAGCAACTTGAGTCCAAGGGTCAGTGTCTGGGAGTAATTTAGGAAAGTTTGGTGCTGACAGCTGTGTCTGGGAGTAGAACGTCATGGCCAAACCAGCTCCTGGGCTCCTCCACTGCTTCAGGCTAATGAAGTTCTGGCCCAGGACATGCAGGCAGCTGTGGTATGGCAGAAAGAAATTAGGGACTATGAGGGCCCAGGCTGTCACTTAGAAAGGAGAAAAGGAAACTGGTATTGCTGAGTGAGCACAATGTCCTTTCATATATGCCATCCTCAGTACAGGTTAGTGAGAACAATGTCCCTGTGTTACATGAGAAGCCAAGAAGGTAAATGTGTCTTTGAGGGCTGTACAGCTGGGGAGTGGGAAGACAGAGCTTCTGGACTCAGGTCCTGGGCTGTTTTTCCAGAACGTTAGCTTCTTTCTCTGTATAATGGTGATAATTATATACCCATCTCACACACGAAGGTTCTAAACCCCTCCTTTCCTTCTCCCAACTTTGGTCCTGAAGAGTTGTGACCATCTTCTTCCTAGGAATGCAGTAATCTTATTTTGCCTCTTCCTCCTCCATCCCTACCCCGACCCTCCTCAACAGGTTTGTGGGGTCTAAACCCCAAGAAGTGCCTGTAAGGGAGGGTATTTGGATTTTGGATTTCCCTCTACTCCCACTCCCCAGGCCTTCTCCCGACTCTGGAGGGCCGGCTCCCTCTTCTCCTCTCTGGTTTTGGCAAGCGGGCTGACATCTGTGGGTGTTTTCAGGGAAAAGAAACTCGGAGCTGCCCCGCCTAGCTCCCGGCGCCCCTTCCCCCACAGCCCTGGGCAGCCCCAACCCCCTGCCTTAGATGCTCCGGCCGCGCACAGGCCTTTGGAGCTCCCAGCCCCCTCCCTCTTTTCAAGATCTGGGATAGTAGCTCGCGATCCCTCTGGCCCCCAAAGAACTGGGCGATTAGCGTCCAGATGCTGGGAGTCCCCGGCGAGTCGTGGACGCCACGCAGCCGGGCCCAGGAAAAGAACCCGGGTTCTGGTGTTACACCGGGAGCTGTCCAGCCCGGCAGGGTGAGCTATAAGAGAGGGTAGGCCAATGCTGGTGAGGCGGAGGGAGCCGCGGGCGCCAGGCGCGGGTGAGGCAGCGACTCCCCCTCCAGCTTGCCGGCCCCGGGCGTCGCCCCCGCCCCCCACGTGGCCGCAGCGGTCCCAGCCCCTCCGAGGAAGCGGCGCGGCTTCCTGCGGCTCGGGCCGGGCATATAGGAGCCCCTGCCCGGGCTCGACTCCCCGCCACCGCACCTCCTCGCCTCCTCGCCGCGCGATGGTCTCGCTCCGGGCCGAGCGCGCCCCCGGCAGCCCGCGGCTCCCCGCGACCCGCGCCCGGCGGCCAGCGGCGCTCCGCCTCCTCCTCCTGCTGGGCGGTGAGCACTGTACCCCCAGGGCCCGAGCGGGAGGCGCCGGAGGCCCCAGAGGGGAGAGGGTCTGGACGGCTGAGGCCAGAACTGGCCCCGTGGTGTGGGTACGGACCGACGTACCGAGCTGCTCTGTCCTTCAGATGGTCCCTGGGCTCACCTCGGGGCGGGCGCTGCACGAGTACTTCGCCCTCCGGGACACCTAGGGTGCTGGCCGGCCCCATGGACAGGGCTGGGGTGGGGGTGTCTGGGGCTGACGAGGAGCGAGGGGACTTTGGGCCTGGATGTAAGTGACAAGGAGCTGGTGCCTGCCCCTTCCTTCCCCGCGCGGAGGCTCCGTAGGGACTGGATTATCTCTCTTCCTCTTCCTGGGTAGCCCAAACTTAGAAGGGTCTCAGCTCCCCCCAGCCGCCCTCTAAGGCTCCATTGCCCTGATTCCCACCATTCCGCTTTCCTCTCCTACTTCTTCCACAGCTGTTCTGAAGCCCCAAGAATCTCTGGCGCAGACTCTTCACACCCCAGGCAGCTTGGAGTCAAAAGGTGAGTACCCAGTGTACTGGGTGTGGGAAGGTGGCCTCCCGAAAGTTTGAGAGCCAGGTCAATGGGAAGGATCTCTTTCCCACAGGCAGGCCTAATCCCAATTGGTGCCCCAGGAGAAACTGCCTTCTCTTCTCTCTCTGGGGTTCCTAGTGGTCTTTTCCCTGCCATCACACAAAACTTCTGCCTAGCTGTGAGCCTGCCCCCCTCAAAGGTGGGTGAGAAGACCCCAGAAAGGTGTATGTGGAAGCTCTAATCAGGCTGGGATGGGAGGTGCTTCCCACAAGGAAGTTATTAAAAGAGTCCTGAGCTGGGACTGTCTCTCTTCACCTAGAAGTGTGTTGCTAGGGAAATTTTCTGAGGGGTTCCCATGTTTGATCACAGGGGTTCCACCTTGGAAGTACCTAGACCAGAGAGTTTGAAGGGAGGGGCAGGGGTGTGGTCATTGTACAGCATCTGTACCTACAGGGAGGGAGACAACAGCAGAGGTGGACTATGCGACAAGTATCCAAGTTTGCTGGATGTATTATAAAATTCATATGGACTCTATCAAAAAGGATTGGTGTGACTGGGCCGTGATTAGCAGGTAGGGGCAGTGCTGGAGGGCCCTCAGGCCAGGGGTTGGCCCTGCTTGGTGGAGTGGACCTGGAGTGAGCATGGGACACTCCTCTCCCTAGGCACAACTGCCTCCCCACTCAAGTCCTCTATTGCCTCCAGGCCTTATAGTGACCTTCGAGATTGCTTGGAGCAGAATGCGGAGGAGTTTGGTCTGGGCTTCCCCAATCCCTGGGCAGAGAGGATCATCTTTGAGACACACCAGATCCACTTTGCCAACTGCTCTGTGGTGCAGCCCACCTTCTCTGACCCGCCAGAGGATGTGCTCCTGGCCATGATCATAGCCCCCATCTGCCTCATCCCCTTCCTCATCACTCTCGTGGTATGGAGGAGTAAAGACAGTGAGGCCCAGGCCTAATAGGGCACAAGCTTCTCAAGACCCATCTTACTTCTCTTCCCTGCCCTCCCCATTCCCTTTCTCGCTCCCACCCCTACCGCCACCGCCACTGCAGAATCTGGTGGAAATGGAAACCAGGTGGGGTCATGGCACAAGTTCTGTAATCTCCAAAATAAAGCTTTTTTTTAGTACAATGTCCCTGTCCCTATTTTAGTGGATCCTGTGTCTTTCTGAGTCCCTGACACTCCTATCGGCCCTCAGCTCTGGGCAGTCAAGCTGGAAGAATGAGGATGGCCCCACTGTTCTGTTTATTTCACCTGCTCCCTTGCTGCACCCCCATCACATGAAGGCCAAACCCCTAGACTCCTTCCTTTCGGGCGGGGGCTTTCCTGTCCCTATCCAAACCCAGCTCCAGGAAACAAGCTCCAGGAAACAAGCGGGAAGAGACTCCCTTCCGGTCTGGACTGCAGGCAGCAGCTGGGGGACTGCGATTAAGAACATGTGGGGGGAGGGGCAAGAGAGGACTCTCTGCTGTGACTCCTGTGAGAAAGAAAGGAGGCTACCTGGGAGCCCTGACTTTTCCCCTTCTTCATGCCTTAGTTTTTTCCACAGCATGGGAAGAGGAACTCTACCTGAACAACAGTAATCCATACCTAGGGGCCTCACAATTGAAGGTAAAAGCAGTGGGAGCTTCTTTCCTGTTCTAGGTTCACCACTCCCGACTCCAGGTTCCTTGCCCTTATCTTACATTGCCCTGGACTGGGTGTGGCATACAGCCTGGCCACACACTGCCCCCTGGCGTCCACTAAAGACAACAACCAGAAGATATATGGTATCTGAGGCTAGAGCAATGGATCCTGGGGTCAGAAAACTGTCATCTTGTCCCGGCCTGGTGGCTCACGCCTGTAATCCTAGCATTCTGGGAGGCCAAGGCAGGTGGTTAGCTTGAGCTCATGAGTTTGAGGCCAGCCTGAGCAAGAGCAAGACCCTGTCTCTACCAAAAATAGAAAAACTGAAGCACTCTACAAAGGGTGACATAGTGAGACTCTGTCTCAAAAAAGAAAAAAAAAAAACTGAGGCAAGAGGATCACTTGAGCCCAAGAGTTGGAGGTTGCTCTGAGCTATGACACCATGGCACTCCACCCAGGGCAAAAGCTTGAGATTCTGTCTTAAAAAAAAAAAAAAAGGCTAATGCTCATAGCTCAGTGGTTAGGGCACCAGCCACATGCTCCAGGGTTGGTGGGTTTGAACCCGGTCTGGGCCTGCTAAAACAAACCAGAAAAAACTAGCTTGGCATTGTGACAGGTGCCTGTAGTCCCAGCTACTAGGGAGGCTGAGGCAAGAGAATCACTTGAGCCCAAGAGTTTGAGGTTGCTGTGAGCTATGACGCCAGGCTGTATGCCACACCCAGTCCAGTGCAATGTAAGATAAAGGCAAGGGACCTGGGGGAGGGGAGTGTGGTGAACCTAGTCACTGGGTGACTGAGTAAGACTCTGTCTCAATTGAAAAAGAAAAGAAAAAACTGTCATGTCCATGACAACCACCAGTTCTTAGCTGAATCCTTCTAAGAGCTTCCTGAGGCAAACAATGCTACCATAAGACACTTTTCCACTTTGTAGGGTCATATCTACCCCTCTCTGCAACTCACCATTTCTGAATATGAACCCCTCCCCCATATGTTCCCTGGACAGTGAAGTCCAGTTCTCACTAGGTAACTTCCAGCCTTCCCTTGGGACACACCTTCCAGGTCACCAAAAACATCTACAAAACATTGTTCTCCATGGTGTCACCTCCTTATTCCTTGTGGCATCCTGAGCCTCTTTAGGGACTTTCCTCCTTGTTGAAATATCTGCCTCCCTGAGTGCCTGTCCATTTCCTGGGACACATCTGTCTATTCTATAGATATGTGTATGTATGCTTCTTGGGATATGCCTATTCATTGTCTGATACACATTTCTCCTTTCAGGACACATCTTCTTCTCTATGGACACACTAGTTTCCTAAAAATATTTTGAAATTTTACCTGAGATAAATCCTTGCTCTATTTTTACAAATGCATCTATCTTCCCAAAAGGCATGTGTCCCCTTCTTGAAACATATTTGCCTTAATGTATCTGCCTAATATACATCAAGAATCTGCTAGTATAAGGCACTAAGTGTGGTATAGTGTGTTGAAAAGATCAGCTAGATAGAGTCTGGTTTCTGCCCTCAGTGGTGTTCATCTAGAAAGGAAGTTGACGTGTGTACAGATAAAAGCAATGGAGTGTGTGAGGAGTGACATATAAGGGCTACAACCCAAATGTTATCCAAAAGCAAAGGAAGGTGAGATCAAATCTGGCTGAAAGGATCACAGAGGTGTGATCACAAAAGAGTGACTGCAGAGTGGACATGTGACTAGGCCTTAGATGGAATGCATTCTCCTAGGGGACAGAATAGAAAAAGAGGTGAATTGGGAAAGTATTGCAATAATCCAGGCTTGAAAAAATGAGAACATGGAGCAAAGGAGTTGTGAATGGGGAAATGGAAAATAATTTTAAAGTAGGAGATATGATTAAAAACACGCAAAGGAGGCCAGGTACAGTGATTCACACCTGTAATCCTAGCATTCTAGGAGGCCAAGGTGGGTGAATTGCTTGAGCTCAGGAGTTCCAGACCATCCTGAGCAAAAGTGAGGCCGTGTCTCTACCAAAATAGTAAAAAACTAGCTGAGTGTGGGTGGCACCTGTGGCTCAAGGTGTGGGGCACTGGCTGCATATACTGGGGGTGGCGGGTTCAAGCCCAGCCCCAGTCAAAAACTGCAAAACAACAACAACAACAAAAATTAGCTGGGTGTTGTGTTGGGCACTTGTAGTCTCAGCCACTTGGGAGGCTGAGGCAAGAGGATCACTTGAGCCCAAGAGTTTGAGGTTGCTATGAGCTATGTTGATGCCACAGCACTTTATCCAGAGTACCAGAGTGAGACTTTGTCTCAAAAAGCAAAACAAACAGGCTGGCACCTGTGACTCAAAGGAGTAGGGCACTGGCCCCATATGCCAGAGGTGGTGAGTTCAAACCCAGCCCCAGCCAAAAGAAAAAAAAAAAAAGCAAAACAAACAGGCTTGGCACCCATAGCTCTGTGGTTAGGATGCTGGCCACAAACACTGAGGCTGGCAGGTTCAAACCCCACTGGGCCTGCTAAACAACGATGACAACAATAACAAAAAAATAGGCAAGTGTTGTGGCAGGCACCTGTAGTCCCAGCTACTTGGGAGGCTGCAGCAAAAGAATTAGTTGACCCCAAAAGTTTGAGGTTGCTGTGAGCTGTGATGCCACAGCACTCTATCGAGGGCCACATAGCAAGACTCTGTCTCAAAAAAGAAAAAACAAACAAACAAAAATAGGCAAAGAAATCAGCAGGACTTAGATATGAGAGGGTAAAGAAGAGAGTTTAGAAATGTCTCAGATTTTGAATCTGATTTACTAGGACAATGATGGTGGTAATAAGAAAAAGGCCCTTGGCTCAGCGCCTATAGCTCAACC